CTTTTGTTTTTTTTATAATGTCATGATGCTCAGAGGAAACCACTAACAGTTCAAAACAAAAGAAATAAAAGTAAACCTAATATTTCCTCTCCGGTTCCCACGAGGTGAGGCTGGCTGGCTCCGGGACAGTAAACCAGCTTTTAATGGTAAACATTACGACGTGACAGAAAGTGTCAGGATCGTTTATTTATACGGTCCCGCAGGGAGACCCCCCCCCCCACGTCAGGCTCACTGTGTTCATCTGAGGGTCTGTATTTAGGTCCCTGTTCTCTCCCCTCTATCCGTCCCTATTAGCTGGACCTGGGGGGGTCCGGCCTGAGATGTGAGGGACGATGTTCTGAGAGGGGTGATACAGACGCCGTCATGCTCACATGTGATGGACAGGTCAGAGGAAACACAGTGGGGGGTTAGTCCCAGCTGATGGGAAATAACCCTACAGAGTGGAGGCAGCAGCAACGGGAGGTCAAAAGGTGAGAGGTCAGATCCGCCGCTAATGGCCGCCGTGACTCGTCTTCCTCTGCAGGCTCAACGTCCCCCTTTTTTTTTTTTGGGAGATAAATCGATTAATCCTGACGTGTCCGGGGTAATCTGACGGAATATTAAAACGTTGCAACTAAGGCCTGATTCTGATTAAAGGGTTTGTTTATTTTACAGCGTCTGGACAACAAAAACTGCACATAAATATATATAAAAGAGTCAGTTTAATAGGTTAGAGAAGCCCTAATTTATTGTTTTCATTTAATATACGACTGTAGTCTGCAAATATTAATGAGCAGATTGTGTGTCACCATTAACAGATCATTTACAGTCAATTAAAAAATGATATATATGTAATGATCTCCACCAGCTGCCCACATTTCCTCCCAGCTTCTCCCACAGCAGAACAAACACAAATAAAATAAATATAAACAGTCTTACCATAGACGCTGCTGCTGCTGATCATGTCGTGCTGCAACCAGAGGAGAGCAGAATTAACGTGTGCAACAACAAACAGGTGGTAAACATGGATTTAAAGCCCTACAGGTATGAGAGCCGCGGGATGACAGCTGCTCAGAAATCAACAGGCTCCCGGCTCGAGGCGGCGCGTGACGCCCGGAACTCCTGCACCCTAACCCGGCGGGGCAAGTCGCCGAGCCGCCGCCGCCGCGTCCCGCAGGCTGGGTCTTACTTCCGCCCCGCTAACCGGAGGAGACTCGCAGGTGCGCTCGCTCGGTGAGGAAGCGGCAAAACAGCGCGGTGTTTTTTTTTTTTTTTTTTTATCATGAGCAAACTTCTGGCGCAATTTTAAACAAGAAGAAGAAGAAGAAGAAGAAGCCGCGAGCTGCTCTGGCTAATGTCCTGTCCTGGCGCGCGCTCGCTCTAAACTGTAGCCGCAGCGCCGGTGCTTACCTGTGTTTTCCTCCGGTTTCCCACCCCTCCTTGTTTTATTAGATTTCTTTTTTCTTAGTCAGCGACAGGTTGACCCCTCACGGAGCTGCTGGAGGAGGAGGAGGAGGAGGAGGGGGGGGGACGCATCGATCCCGCTGAAGCAGGAGGTGAGGTTAAGCCGGGCCGCGCGCGAGCTGAAACCATCCCGAGCCGAGGCAGGAAGCAGTGACCACAGCCTCTGCCATGTTGGAATTTCAGCAGCAGACCCCCGAACAGCTGCTTCCAGACTGACCAGTGCTCCCTCCCCACTGCGCATGCGCTCACACCACAGCGCGAGGGGCGGGGGGGGGGGCTGATCAACTGGAGCTGAAGATCAACACACTAACAGAGATTACACTTCACTGTAATCTAATCTAAGACCATGAAAGGCTTATTTTTAGATGTGAGGACTGTAAAAGAAGTTTAAAGATCAAAGGAAATGTGAACGATTTTAAAGAAAAATTTTAAAACAAGTAATAATCAATGCTGGGCAACAGATATAGAAATATATATATGGACACGTATAGATGAATACATCACATATGTAGTACATACAACCCTCATATAGAAGTATACGTTTTAAACATAACCTTGTTTTTTAAAGAAGCGGTGGCTTGAGTGACTAAAAACAGACACACAGATACAGCAAGCTAAGTTATAAGACATGGTAAAAAACACCAAACTTTAACAATTCCACTCACTTAGCAAGTCTAAGACCACGACTACGGCTGCCACAAACGATTGTTTTAATAATCAATTAATCACCGATTTTTTATTCGATTAGTCGACTAATCGGATCATAGGTTAATTGAATATAAAACATACAGGTTTGGTTCACCCCAAAGATCCGGTGCCCCGGCACAAACAGAGCAATATTGTATATGCTGTTAAGTGCCAGGAGGACTGCGACCAGTTATACATCGGGGAAACAAAGCA